TATCAAATGTTCTGGCCAATAAGAAATTTGACATTACACACCTACTGTTGACGGGCAATAACGTTATAAATCTACCTTGTGAAGTAAGAAAACTCCTGCCTACGTTTCAGTGTGGGGTGGTAAAATCCAGTCGACAACTGTCGGGACGCTACACACTACATGATGAAACGATGTTGCTTCCAAATGGGGTAACATACCAGTGCTCACTGGCCGTCACATTAGAACATGACGCTGGAAGCACGTTACCCACGTGTAGCCCAATCCGGTATTACAGAGTTCGGTATGAATGGAATGTGTAGTCATGGAAGTGTAGATGATGTAGTAATTAAGATGGGTATGTATGCCCTGTTGTATGAATGGCAGGTGTAATATGTAAGATGGTTATATGTATGTCAGTTGTAAGATGTAAGATGGTTATATATATGTCAGATGTAAGATGTAAGATGGCTATATATATGTCAGTTGTAAGATGGTTATATATATATGTCAGTTGTAAGATGGTTATATATATATATGTCAGTTGTAAGATGGTTACATGTCTGTCAATTGTAAGATGTAAGATGGTTACATGTATGACAGTTGTAAGATGTAAGATGGCTACGTGAATGTCAGTTGCAAGTTGTAAGATGGCTACGTGAATGTGACTGTCAGTTGTAAGTTGTAAGATGGCTATGTGAATGTGAATGTCAGTTGTAAGATGTAAGATGGCTACGTGAATGCCATGTGTAAGATGTAAGATGGTTACATGTCTGTCAATTGGAAGTTGTAGGATTTAAGATGGCTACGTGAATGTCAGTTTAAGATGTAAGTAGATGGCTACGTGAATGTCAGTTGTAAGTTGTAAGATGGCTACGTGAATGTGACTGTCAGTTGTAAGATGTAAGATGGCTACGTGAATGCCATGTGTAAGATGTAAGATGGTTACATGTCTGTCAATTGTAAGTTGTAGGATTTAAGATGGCTACGTGAATGTCAGTTTAAGATGTAAGTAGATGGCTACGTGAATGACAGTTGTAAGTTGTAAGATGGCTACGTGAATGTGACTGTCAGTTGTAAGATGTAAGATGGCTACGTGAATGCCATTTGTAAGATGTAAGATGGTTACATGTCTGTCAATTGTAAGTTGTAGGATTTAAGATGGCTACGTGAATGTCAGTTTAAGATGTAAGTAGATGGCTACGTGAATGTCAGTTGTAAGTTGTAAGATGGCTACGTGAATGGGACTGTCAGTTGTAAGATGTAAGATGTAAGATGGCTACGTGAATGCCATTTGTAAGATGTAAGATGGTTACATGTCTGTCAATTGTAAGTTGTAGGATTTAAGATGGCTACGTGGATGTCAGTTGTAAGTTGTAAGATAGTGACATGCATGTCAATTGTAGGTTTTATTAATTTCAGTAATATGGTTACATGAATGTCAGTTGTAAAATTGTAAGTTGGTTTTATGTGTGTGAGTTTGTGATAAATAGTCGACACACCTATACGCCACCTATTTTTTATACAAATAATTACAGTTGGTTACAACTATGTTTATTTTCTTACGTACCGTAGCATAATTGTTACGTGAAGTTATCGAAAATAAAAAAATCTTCTCGACAACAATTCTTCTTGTTATTTCCTACAAACAGAATGTATACAGTACTTAATCGAGTCACACCTGGATTTCCGATATTTTTCAAGTCCTGTGATGTAATCTTTTTTGGTATATCATATCCAGCATTCAAACAGTGTAACTATGTATAAAGTAGCCATTGTTGAAATGTTATCTTATCGATCAGCTGATTAAAGTTGAACACATAGACCCATCTGTATCAGTTATGTGTATATTTACCTGATTTCTTTTCGTAACAGGACGAACTTGTGATCATCACAGGGACCTGAACATTTGGCAGATGTTTATATGCCTCCGCCATAAAATGGGGGGAGGGGGGTGCATATATTGTTACCCATGTCCATCCCGTCCCGTCCCGTCCCGTCCAGTCCCGATTAAATGTAAACACTTAGCAACTTCATTCTTTGACAGATTTTGGTCAAACTTTATACAAAGGTCAAGTATGAGTATACTTCGGACATCGTTGTATTTCAGGGATCCAAGGTCAAGGCCAAGGTCACACTAGCGATATATAGAAAATCGTCCCGTCCCGTCCCGATTCAATATAAACACTTAGCAACTTCATTCTTTGACAGATTTTGGTCAAACTTTATACAAAGGTCAAGTATGAGTATACTTCGGACATCGTTGTATTTCAGGGATCCAAGGTCAAGGCCAAGGTCACACTAGCGATATATAGAAAATCGTCCCGTCCCGTCCCGATTCAATATAAACACTTAGCAACTTCATTCTTTGACAGATTTTGGTCAAACTTTATACAAAGGTCAAGTATG